TTAAAACTAGTCATTAGTGAGCATATGATTTAGTATCAGTATTGGGATGTATGGAGATAACAGTATTTTTACAGTCGAATTCATGATATAATAGTTCCAACATTTATCCTTTCTATCTCTAAAGAAACGGTCTATTGAAAAGATAGTACAATTAATAGTTATCAGTGTTATATTATGTAGTTAGTATGTAAATAGTTAATGCAAACCTCATGAGATAAACATGAATTCAACTAATTATTACTTCGTCTTATATTTCACTCAAGGGAGTATATTTTTGATATTTTAAAAATAGTTCAGATATTTAGTCAATAGTTGACTATCAAAATAGATTAGAAGAAATTTTATTTCAGTCACAAGTACATTCATTAAACTACAATTGTCCTGAATTAAATTAGTTTCTTTAACGGAACCGTATACATTTCAAGAAATAGTATACTACTTTCGATTTATTTCTTTATTTTTTTAAATGGAAATTTCTAGAAAAAATCGACAAGGAAATCTAAGAATTTTAATAGTTGAAATTATGAATCGTTTGAAGCTAGACCACTATGGAAAACCTTGAAACACTAGACGGACTCACCAGTAGTGAGCATCCACTATCCCGCGCGTAAGATTCGAACCCAGGACCTGTCGGCCTCGCACGTGAACACTCAACCTCTAGACCACTGAGCCGATATCCAACAGCCTTAATGTATAACGTCGGACAATTCATGAAATTGCGCCACCATCAACCAATGTCTTCAGTTAGTTACCATCTTACAACAGATCTGATTGAACTCCACTTGTCACGGTTTCTCACTACAAATCCAAGAAATGCCTCTTAATGCCAGTCACTAGTGAGCACATGGTGATTATTAGTAATTTACTTGTTAAATAGTCGAATCCCACGGAAAGGATCGTGGAAGCGCACTGTTGAGGAGTCCTACAATAAGATGAATCGGCCGTCCAGTGCTTCCAGCTTTTCCATGGTGGTCTAGCTTCAATTGACTCATGATTTCAACTACTAAATTACTAAAAACTTCACAAAACCTCCTTCTGATAAGAAACTTTATTATGTTTCATTTCGACTCTGTTATTATTTTGCGACAAGAAATATTATACGACATAATTGAATTTTTAAATTTTGTTATTGTCGTTAATTAAAATAAACCATGAATTTGATTTGTTTGTGTTGTATTCCATTTTTGTTTATTTCGAGGTTGGAATTGTTTCAGTTTGATAGTTTATTTTAAAATTTATATTTTAATCCGAAACCTTTATATATGTACTATTGAATGATAAAAAAATATATAAGTAGATATTAGTTAACCAACTGTGTTACTTATATACTTACTACTTGTAAGTTTATCAAGTAGTTGCATACCTAGTGAAGAATTCAACTTACATTGAAGTTGAAAATTACTTGATGACATTTCCACAACTTATTCTAGAGTTCGAAAATTACAAAATTTAGTAGAAATTTTCTGTATGACTAATTTAGCAATAAACCAAGTGATAAAATGATTCGATCTAGTCTAGTTATTTTCAAGTTATCAACTTAACTTTCAACCAAATGAATTCATAAATTAAACGTTTATCTAAACTTCATTGTCAACACAGTTGTTGATTACTTTTCCTGACTGTAATTTAAAATAGACTTAAATGACTATCAATGTATAACCACATTACATGTATAGTCAAGTAACTAATTTTGATTCAAATCAAAGACGTGAGTTTCGTCCTATTTGGGACTCGTCAGCTGAATGTACCTGCATCTCAGAGCTGAAGTTAATCCCGAGACTCGAACCCCGTATCGTTCGCTTCAAACGCCATCACGTTATCCACTTAGCTACTGAGTCCTGATAGCCACCTGCTTGTGCGATGGGGTTAAGTTTAAATTCACTTGGTATTGTTTGCAGATGCATGTAGCTGAGAAGTTTCAAATAGGATGAAACGCATGTCCTGGATTCCACTGCTAGACACTATCCAACTTTGCCCAAAAAGCTAGTAACTTAAAGCAATACCGAGGCAATCCGCACAGGTTGCATATATACCAACTAGAGACTGATCAATTGTAGTCCTAAACAACAATGAGAAGATACATGCAAACAATACCATGTTAATTTATACTTTATCATGATTAGTGAGTTTATTTATTTGTAGCCAGATTGTTTGAGATCATTATTTTCCAGGTTGCTTGATGTTTCAAACTTATAATCATAGTATTACAGAAAATTAAGAGTTATAACATGAAACAAATGTTATATATTGAGGTTATGCAATAAGACATCTAAACGGTATGTCACTTAAACTTCCCTTAAATTTCGTAAATAGCAAACTTTTCATTTTCATCTGTAATAAATAAATGTATTTTCAGCAAACAATAACAATCATAAGTATTGACTAAATTATGAATTGAAATATTTTATAAAATGGAACGAAGTAAATTCATTTTATTCTGTACCCCCTCTCTCCCTACTCTCTCTCTCTCTCTCTCTCTCTCTCTCTCTCTCTATATATATATATATATATATATATATATATATATTACTATGGAACTTGAAGCAATTTTTAATAATTTTAATAAAAGATGAATTTATCGCTTTTTTAAGTGGACACTTTGAGTTATGACTTCGTGTGTTTAAAACATTCAGAATGAAACCACTTTAGTCCCATTTAGTTTTTAGTTGGTAATAATCATTCTTATTAATGGTTTTACTCGATATTATATTCTTGGTACAATATAGAATTATTGTGGTGTGTGCTACTTATATTGATGCAAGTAGTATATGACCCGAGTTAAAACGTAATGTCTGGGAGCAGAAGATGGAGAAAGATCAAGAAAGAAAGAGCATAAACACAATGCAATTTGTAAGAAAACGCATGAACAATGAAATGTGAGACAATAGATTGATGTTTGCAACGGGAACAGTTCAGGTTGATAATGATGGATTAATAATTTGCAAATTAATGATTTGTTATATGTTCTTTCCATTTTACCAAGTAACTGTAATTTTGTGCCAAATGTATTCGATTGTCCGCACCCGTGTTCTGTTCACTACATTTTCAGCACGAGGTATTCCAACAAGTTTCTTTCGCGAAAAGAGAAAAAAAGTGTGAATGGAAAGGATAACTGCATACATGCATACAATAGTTGAGTATGATTATGGTGTTGGTTAAACACTTAAAGATTATTAGATGTTCTACTTGGAATGTAATTACAGTTTCTGTATTACATAAGAAACGAAAACATGGTGACTACTGAAATAAATTTTGCAAATTATAATCATGAGTTTTTAGATTTCCATTTTACTCACTTTGAAATTTGTAGTAAGTTGTTATCAGGGTTCGCTATTTAAGATAAACAACAGAAAAGCTTTTTCATTCGTATTTATACTTTACTATCAGTGCCTATAAAGAAAATAAAAACCTAAACATTTCGTAGCATTCACGATATAATTCAACCAATGAATTTATATCCAGTAGTTCAAGTTTTTCGAAAGAAGTGCGGTTACGAAATAACATGTCTATCATTCAATATAGTCGTAAAGTTACATTTTAACTTATGACTTACTTCTTTTGTGGACAATGCTTTATGACGATTACATAAATGTCTACTAAGTGATTGTTTAGTTTTGACCACGTGGTAATTACGAACTCGGTCAGAAAGAAATGTCACAAGAATCTAGTTGGAAAGTTTGACCTTTGGACTCGATGCTAATATTAATGGGTGATGATTATGCGGCTACACAAAGGAAACAGAGGAAAAAAATCAGGACGAGATAAGCCAAACAACATTGCTTACAATGATAGAGAATATGATAATTTCCGCTTCATTCTGATTAATCGCTAAGAAGACTGCCACAATTACGAAATCAAGTTGAGTTTAATTGCAACTGAAATCAGTCTACTAAAGCAACTCTCCTACAATCAAGTTCGATTATGGTTAAATCTTGTTAAACTCTTATATTTACTTAACAGAAAATCTTATTCAAACAGTAACAATTCGCATATTTCTTTGTGCTATTATGATTACTATCTTGTTTGTATAAATGTGTACTCTTGATAACATGACAGCCAACACACAAATCTCCTTAGCTAAAATGTTGATCCCATAAATATCGATCAATGATTCATTCTCTTCCCCAAGTATATATGTACTCAAGTCCTATTATTAGTCTTTGCTTCGCCTCACTATGCCCTTATTCGATTTGACTATAAATTCGCCTCTGTATTTGCTCTCACACATATATATACATATATATCCTTCTCTCTGTTTCAAATCGCTTGATGTGCTTATAACTTTGTGATCTGTGATATCCGCTAATAAATTGTAGTTGCCACTTCTTATTGCTTTCTGTTTTCAAACACTATTAAGATTTATATAATAACCGTTATCAAGTTGATTGGTTAACGAAGTAAAGTCACTACACTACTCATGAGCACAGCTGAGGACAACCGAATTACATTTAACATAAAATTACAGAGTTACTTGGTAAAATAGAAAAACAATACTATAAGACCTAATTTACAAAATGTTCAATAATTGTCTCGGACTTCATTGTTCTTTCATTTCTATACTAATTTCTTTCTATTCCCGTTCTTCCTTTCTTGATCTTCCCAATCTTCTTCTGCCAAGCATTACATTCCTGACACGCGTTATATACTACTTATGTCAATATAAGTAGCACGCACCACGACTACACTACTCATGAGCAATAGAACCCCAAGTTTAGTCTTGTTTAAATGAACTTATGAATTCAACTATTTAAACAAATATATTTATTTAAGAAATTCATAAAATTGACCAATAGAAATCAATGTCATTCAATAACCAATAGAATTTATTTTACATTTATTTCATAATTTCAAACAATTAAAAATGAATTTGTTATTTAATGAAACAACTATGCTTGGAATTGCAAAAAAAAGAATAAAAAATTATTGGGAAAATTATATTTTAACCTTTATTCATTCAATCATTGTTCACTTAGATAAATATATATATAGTCAAATAATATATGCATCAGCTTATATCAAATTCATTTGATACGGATGATAATAGTATAGGAATGAATATGAAAGGTGTTGACAATAATAATGTAAATAATACAAATGATAATATTATACGTAAAATAAAAAGAATCAACACAACAAGCGGTTATGATGTAACAATTAATCATAATTTGAAAAGATCATGTAATTCAATAAAGAAAATATTTAGTCGAAGAATAATTTCTACATCATTTTCTGAAACAAATAATAATATACATTGGAATAAGTTATCGGATGATGATAGTTCATCGGCTTTAACATCAAGACTAACAAGTAATAAATCATCATATGTATCTTTTGAAAGTTTATCAGGAAATCGTGCAATACCATTGACATCATTTGTTACAAATGAGTTGATGACAACTACAACATCGACCACAATGTCATCAGGAAAAAATACAAGTGATGTGAAAATGAGAAATAAACCCACATCAACTGATTTATTAAATGTAAAAAGAAAATTGCAAAGGCAATGGGCTACATGTAGTTCATTGTGTAACAATAATAATTCTTATAATATTTATCAAACACTTAACAGTACAGGATTATATGATATAAATTCAATAACTTCAAATCGTAGGTCTGGAACAACAGAGAGAAAAAATAAATCTCACTGGTTATCTTTATGGCGTCAGTCACTTGATCGTGGTATAGATTCTACAACAAACTGGTAAGTGAAAAATATGTATTGCCATTATTTATTAATAAAATAGTTTTGGGAAAGATTCATTCAACTAATCATGGTGTTTTCCGTTATCATTTCTCTTCTTTAAATCATGCTCCACCTTGTTTAGTTTCGGCTAGGCCTCCCACAAACTGTGACTCAAAACCTTATTTTGTAACTCCGTAATTAAAAAGAGAACTACATTTCCTCTTACGATTCAGTGTACTTTTTGAAAACTTTGATTTGTTTTCTTCCTTTATAAATTGGAAACAAACTTCACTTCATTTAGTTTCAGAGAATAAAATATTATTTTCTATTCTGTATTCAACTAAAAAAATCTCTGTTTGGAATTTTAATAAATGTTGTCATCCAATTCCAAAAAGTTAATCTACTTACAAAACTTATGGTGAAGTTCGATAGCGCACTGTAATAGCACATTTCGTCTAGCACAAATTGTAAGTCCATCGGTAATAATAAGTATTGATAAGCTAAATCGGATAATTGGAGTCTAGTTCGTTTAGTTATTTGTTACTTCATGTTTTCATTCACAACAGTTTTATACTGATCTAAATAAAAACAATTGTATTAAGAATGTTTAACCTCATTCATTAGCTACTAATGAATGACATTAAGAAAAATGAAAAGTATGATTGATGAAGCTTCACAATGTTAGAGTGGAATAACTATCACGAATTCCAGTGAATGGCAGTTGGGTAATATCACAAGTTGACTAAAACTGAAAATCTGAATCGCTGGATTACGATTCAATAGTCTGAAGGTGACGTTCCTTATAGGAGGTCAAGTTCAATAGCAAGCGTGATTTATGATGTATTTTGTTCCAAAGTGGTAGAAAATAGCTCTCTAGTGATTTTATTTTCATTGGTTATATGTCAGAAGTCAAAAAATGAAGTTCTTAAAATAGTAATCCAATATCGTTGTTTACATCTAAACACAATTAACTGTAAATAGGATTGTTCAGCATTAGTAAGTGACGTCATCTTAGTAAAGGGTTTATTTTTTAAACTTAATCCAGTCTAGTCAGTAATCTAATGGAGTACTCTTAAACAAAACAAAACAGATGTAGTTTATGGGGTTTACATTGGTTTAAATCACAGACGATCCGCTTAAGATAAGTTCTTGGAAAACTGTAGGAGACATGTTCCGGTCTAAACACCCACTTACTATGGTGACCACAATACTGAAATGATCAGACACTTTATCATAAATCTTGAGATATATTGGCAAAAATAGTGAAGATATTTCACCCATATTTAATGGATGTTTTTTCCTGTTTTGCCATCTGAGGTACAGGAATCCATTGCCTAAAATTGTTGGCAGACAACTGCAGTTAAAAATGCAGGGTGTATCAGTGAAGTTATGTCGAACATTCACAACTCTGTTAAATCATTCACTAACTAACATTCATATTTAAAGAAAAAACAAACTAGAACTCTTTTGTTACAAGTTTTGATGTTTAACTCACATGTTGAGATAATGTACTATACTTACCTACCTATATACAATTAAAATTCATGAAAAGGAAAACTGATGAACTTTATCCATTCTGTATGTTCATGACATTTGAAGTGTGCTTAGTAAATTACCCGACAGATAACTTGAATAGATAAAAAAACTATATAACGAGATACATAATTTTATTTATAAAATTATGCCTCATAAACACTGTATTAAAACCACAGAAGTAATGTCAAATATACAAAATATGTTCTGAGTGAAAAGCTATAAACCCGTTAATACATAATGATTCGAAAGTTTTATTTTGGTGATTTAACGATTATATATTTTAATGTTAGAATTTGTGAATGTGGACAAAGTAGTTCTGTGATGTGTGCTACTTATATCGACATAAGTAGTATGTAATGATAAACAGGATTAGAATGTCTGGTAGCTGAAGATCGAGAAGGAAAGAACGGGAACAGAAAGCAATCGGTATGATAATGCAGAAACAATGACGTCTGAAACGAAAGGAATAGTCAAGTTTGAGACAATTGTTTGATATTTTGCAAAGTAAGTATTTACTGTATGGTTCTCAGGTTTTACTAAGGTGTTCTGTAGTTTTAAGTACAAATACATTCGATTGTCTTCCACTTGCGTTCTCGTTCACTATAATTTATTTGCCTTTACGAAGTCATGTGCCTTAGTATTTCACTAAGATTCTAACTTGGCTTAATCTATGAAAGTCTCAGAGAAAATATTCATATTTTCTATGTTTCAACAATTCGTAGATTTAAGAAGTTTGTATCTGAACTTGGTTTTATTAGGAATCATCTATGAGATAAGAAAAAAAACTATAGACGGATATTAATTTAATTTCATAATATAGAATCTCTATTGAATTATAATTATTGATTATATCGGTGCATATAAAAAATACACTCTTAATTTTTAATAGTTCTTACTGTATCTAACTTCTCGAGTTCCTTGTTAACATAGAGTTCCAATTTTTATTGTAATTTTTTTTGGGGGGGGAGGGGTGTGGTTTATACCCTGCTTATCTTTTATAATTTGTCAAATTGTGTAAATTCATGTAAATTATTTACTTGAGATCAACAAAATCACTGTTTTATATTAATGTTCCTTTCATAAATGATTCTGACAAGCTACTTTTGTTTTCATACAGTAAGAGGGGTTCTGCATTCAATTGTTTGTTCTATAAATTGGCAAACTCAATTGTGATATGTAATATTTATTCATTAGTGTTTTAGAAAACTCTTATCAGTTAATGTGAAATTAAGTGGAAACAAGGATTGAAGTTTGACATGTAAACCGTTGAGTACTGGTTGAGTAGTTTAAAGGTTAATCGTTTATCGCGAGAGCTAAATGTGATGAGTTCGATCTTTGGTGGGTTAATGGAAACTCACTAAGATGAGACAACTATTCATTCCCTGTTGATTTTCAGTGGTTGTATACCTTATGTTAGTTCATAATATCAGTAACAATTAAAAAATAAGCACGAACCCTTATACTGAAAAAAACTAAGATTCTCAATAAACTTTCATTATTTTTAAGTTTAAGATAACAATGATGCAAATGCCAATAAAATTTTATTCAGCATTACATAAATACTTTTCACTTATCGGTGTATACAGTAATTACAGAAACTATGTTAGACAATATGTGGTGCATACTACTTATGCTGACATATATAAATGGTATGTATCAGCAATCGGATGAGGAATGCCTACCAGCAGAAGACTAAAATGATTGAATTGAAGAGAACTGGACGGGAAACAGAAAGTAACTGTTCTAACCACAGAATTGGAAGAATTATGAAGCATGTAAAGGACAACTGAAGGAAGATATGCAAACAATGTATTTAATGTATGTACTCTGCAATTTTGCATTAAAAAATTTAAAAAATGGCTATCTCCACCAAATGTTCGTAAACCAGATATATTTACTATGCAATAACAAGGAGATATATGAACGAAGAATATTATCTTCGACTAATTCCCATCAAATTCTATTGTCATACATTCAAAGTATTTATGGAAATGAATGACAATTTATAAAATTGCAAAATAAAGATTGAGCGCTTTTAGTAAAATAAGTTTGCTAACATTTGTGGAAGTTAGATTGTTAACATGAATTGTAAATCTTGATTATTTTGTATGTCATTTGAAATGGTAAGAATAGTAATTCGTTATAAATAAGAATAATTTATAGGGGGAGAAATAATTATTGTGATTGCCAACCAGATCAAATGTTCATTTAGAGACTGCGTAATACATGAAGTAACATCGTTCAAAGGTACATTTTATATTTATGTTTATTCATACAGCTCATGACTTAAATTATCATATGAAGTAGTGAAGGCTTATGGTGTTGTGACTGATGTAATCATGTGTGGAAAGATCTAATTATTATTGAATACACAATCATACATTGGTTTAGTAAAATGTGAAAATCATGCATCAAATACGTCATTTGCACATTTTCTCTGAATTGTCTCTAACAACCTTTATTGTTCCTTCATTCCTATTCTTTATTTGATTGCTTTCAGTTTCCTTCTTTCTTCTCTCTATTACAAACTTCTCAAACTTCTGCTCACAGACATTCCACTTTCGACTAGTGTACATACTAATACATAAATAGCACACACCATAATCGTTCAGTTTTTAAAAAGCCATAGCTATCATACAGACTACCTGTTCTGGATCCCGATTCAAGTAACGACTGACCACCATATATTATCTAAAAACGCGACTTTTGAACTATCTGGAAAATTCTGTCTTATTAGTAACAGAAATTATTTTCAATAAGTAAAAGATTTTGTAAAATCTTAACGTAAACTCAAAGACATCTAAAATACTATAAAAACCCTACATTTTCTTTACTAAAACGAACCTTTGGAGTAAAGTACTTCTCGTGTTCAGGTCACTGTTTAGTTCTAGCTTGGGGTTACGTGAATAGTTTAAGAACCGAATATAACGTTCAATTAGCAAGACTTATCAGTTAGATACCTATTTTGAAATATTAAAAGTAGAAAAATTAAACAAATAAAATAGATCAAATAATTTACAGAACCTATGAAATAGTTTATGCTTCATAAGTTTCAAACAATAACAAATAATGACATTAAACTTTACATTCTCATTGAAATAGTGGAGAAGATCTGTAGTTCAAATGAATGATTTTAATGAAGTTTTGTGTCTTTAAGCTGAATAATTTGGTCATTACTTATTATTTCCTGCATTAAACAAAATCAAAACAAATATAGTTTATTATGAGTAGTTTTTTTAATTTTATTTCTTTTTACATAGAACAATGAAAGGATTTCTAGTCATATAAGATATGTCATCAATGGTGAAGTTGATTTTCTGAATTACATAATGAAACCGAAGTTTGATTTTGTTTGAATTTCCTTTATAAGGTTGAGCACTTTTTGTATTCAGAAAAATAATGATGTCTGTAAAAAAAGATCTATTGAAAAACTAAGAAAAACAAAACATTTTGTATATTCAAATTTTAAACTGTCGATCTAT